CCTGGTCAAAAGTGCTCACGCACTTATGTGGGATCCGTTCACCCCGGACTCAAAGCAGGGTAATATACCAAAAAGAGTTTCCAAAACTCCCCCCTTCCGCCCAAGGAGCTCCCCCTGATTCTACTTGAACTCGCCTATTCCCATAGAGTTCAGCTCTACTCGGGAGTCACCGGCCGTCAGACAGGGATGGGCAACTTGCTGGCCTCTTACTAGCACCGGACTCTAACTGGAGGCCCTTTTCTTTTCCCTCTTTTTGAACCGGGTCTTCCCCCAAGCAGTTTTTTTTTTTCTCTTTTTCCCCCTTCTTCTTGAACCTTGTCTTCCCCCAAGCAGTTAACTCTTTTTTTTTCTTTCCCATTCTTTTGAACCGGGTCTTCCCCCGAGCAGTTAACTCTTTTTACCAGAGGCTTTTTCTTACATGGGAGATCCTTGTCTTGTCGGGGTTAGCTCTCTCCGTCTTGTTTTCCTCTCAGCCATCCTTTCAAGCCCTGCTCACGGCTGGTGGAGGTTTCTGGCCAAATTTGCCTCAGCCCAAATGCTGAGGGAGAGCTCTCTAATGCCGGTCATCCACCCGTCGGAAAAGAGGTTCTTTGAGGGAGAAGTCTTAAGAATTTTGAGGCAAAATTCGCCTTTAGTCCGCTCGGTGCCCCACGTTGGGCGCCAAAACTGTTACCGGACTGAGCCAGTCAACAGCTGGGGCAAACCCAGGTGGACCCCAAACCTGAGCCAAACAGAGCCTGAGAAGAGACTTAGAGCCAAAATCAGCTTTATTCTAGTGCACTATAGAATAAAGGGAGACAAAAGGGGACATTCAGCCCAAAGCAGTGTCTCAAAAGTTGCACCCCAGTACATGCGTTTTATACCCTAGGTAACCAATTAGGTCACCTAATACACATCTAATACATCGATACATCAATGTATGCACCCCCTCCCGTGCTGGAGAGAGTTCTTTCTTCTGTTAAGGACCAGACATTTCCCATGTCTATTTCTTATCTGCTCGAGATTCACACAGGCTTGCCATGTTCTTACTCCCTGCACATTTGCAACTTTCATGGTGGCTAGAGCCAGTTTCCACTGTCCCTTTGATTACCATATTCGAGGTGTTAGCTGTGGGTTACACAAAGTTCATTTTGTTCTTATCCCCCCTCCCTTCTGGGACAGTGTAACTGTGGTGTTTTTACTATGTGGCCTTCCTCTGGCCAACTACTTTTGGGGCCTTTCTCTGGCCAATTATTCTTGGGGTGTTTTGCGGTGCTGCAATTGGTAACATTAGGATACTATTTTGTGATTAAGCATAGCTGCTCTGAAAAAATTTCAAACTGGAAAGCCAGAGCAAATGTATCCTCTCTGCTTCCAATTATTCAGAATTAAATAATACACAGGACTCTAAAGATAGAAACCATTGACACCACTCCCCATAATGGCTTAAATGGAAGTTCCAGGTTTGAATTTATCATGCAAAATTGTGGGTGCACTTGTTGCCTTAGATAATTGGTTCACTATGGGCGAGAGATCTTGTCCTCCAACATGAACTCTATGTTCATTAAAGTAAGTCCAACTGTGCTCATAGGAGCTTATTCCTCAGTAAGAGTGTTCAGACCTGCATCCTTAAAGTAGACATCACATGCTCAAGTTTAACAATGGAGAACTTTAGGAACATCTTACTCTTATATATGACTAAATCCAATGATCTTTAAAACGAAGTACAATTGTGTTTTTCCATGCTCACAGCAGCCTTACTTTTACTGCTTCCTTCTATACATATATATACTTTTGAACTCTCCTTTGCTAGTAAAATTTCCAGAGAGTTCTCATTTCAGCATCTTCCAGGCCCAAGATAATTTCTTGAAAGACAGTTAAGCACAGTTTTCAGGAGTTCCTTTGTCTTCACCACACAATACTCCTTCCAGCTGGAATGGATTACTTGGGAATTACTTGCTCCATTTTTGGATTTGGTAGAGTTGATAATATGTGACTACATGGGCATAGTCTAGATAGGATTAAGCTGCAACAATAAGTAACTTGAACCACCCATTCTTTAGAGGGAATGCTGTATTAAAAGAGTCTCACTTGAGAAGAAGAGCAAGGTATAACAGATGAACTGCATTCAAAACTATTAATCTAAACCTGCAATTCTGTGCACACTCACTTGGAAATAAGTCCATGAATGTCCAAAAGACTTGTCTCTTTGTAAACAAACATAGAGCTCTGAACCTAAATGACTCACTATAATCGTAAGAAATCTTAATAGAGTTCTGCTTGACTAATTCCTGTAACATGGAAGCAAAAGAAAAAAGAAAATTTATGTGCAGTAACTCATTTTTGTTCTTTGTCCCACCATAATAACCATTAGAAAAAAATTAAGTGTATCAGTACCATATATCATCCCTTCATGAATGTACAAACAGCTGTACATGAACCACACGCCTTTCACATTAGTTACGCTCACACATATTTTATTTAATCAGGTGCCTCGCACAAGAGTGTGTGTTTTGATAGGTTTAAACAAGGCTGCACTAGCAATATGCTTTACTTCCCTCTATTGCTTCTCTGCTCTTCCAGAGTAGGTTTTGGCTGTGCAATCACACTGCTTCATTCATAGAATTTAACAAGAGGTCCAGATGTTGTCTTCCATTTGTAGCCCTTCTGTGTAATCTCACTGGAACCCCCCCCCCCCCAATAAAGCAATCCAAAATTGGGGTGCCACAGAATAATTCAGATTTCCAGATCCAAATTTGGAAACAGAATTCCAACCCTGGACCTGGGAATTGTGCTCCACCCTCCTCCCCTGTTCCACAGCCAGGGAGGAAAGAACTGCACTCTCTGGTTCTCTAAAGTTGGGAACACAGTCTCAAAAAAGGGATACAGAGGGGAGCAGTGAGGAGCAGACTGGAGCTACCAAGATATGATGTATTCTGATGCTGCTGTAGTCCTCTTTTCTCCCCTTTTGGAGAATGCAAGACACAGCAATCTTCAGTCAGGGTTGTTACATTCTTAATGATGGCAGTATTTACTGAATCACTAACCAAATGTTATAGTGGCAAACATATAATGCAACAAAAAGCCATATGATGTATCTTTTCACAGATCCAACATCAACATGCAATACTCTGGGAGAGTCACTGGCACTGCCACCTACCCTGACTGCAAGCTCACCTGAATAATGGTAGTAGCAATACTCAACTTTAAATTACAATCACCTGGAACTAAACTCTGGTGGGTATTCTGGAATATTATGGGAAATCAAAATAGTGGCTCCTAGAAAGGATGCTCCTAGTGGGAGCACTGAAGTAAATTTAAAAGGTCCAACTTCTTTCATTTTTCATCTGGCAACCAGCTGAGAAGTAGTTGTGCAGGAGGGGAAGCAGACAACTAATAGGAACAAGATACTACATTCCTACCATATTGTATTACTTGATTCCTGTAAAGTAATAATAAAGGCACACTCTCATATGCATATTCTTGCATCATGAAACACTTAAAAACTGGGCTTCAGTAGCACTTAATTAAAAGCAGTAAGTTTAGGACATTGATTTTTACCCTTACTTTATTATGCAAATACTATGCATATCCATGTACTAGGGAATTCTAGGAATTGTAGGAATTTTTCTTCCATCTAACCATACATCTAACTGGAACATTGGTTCAACTTAGCTCCCACTGAGGTCAGACTTGAGCCATGACCAACTTGTCCAATTGACTTCAACAAGATCCATGTTCAACTACATATTTAGGACCCTCAGTACAAATTTATTTATTTATGTCTGAAACTCACTACTTTTAAGTAAATCCATCTAAAATTTATTTACATTTTAAATCATGTGTTTTAGCACAAGAAAATTGAGTGCTTAAGTTCAAAAGTTCAAAAAGATCAGTTTTAAAATTTCTTAATTTTATAAGTTAAATTCATGTTCAGTGTAAAACTACAGATATTTATATAGCAGTTTCCAGTATCTGAAAAATGAAAGCTTTAAGTTAAAATTCTTTTATAGCCAAATAAATCACTTTTCATTTATAGAAATTCAGTCTATTTATCATTTTCACTACTACTTAGCAGTTTCTAAATACACATCTGATGAAGCTTTTGAAGCCAGTAAACAGCAATTATGAAAATCCTGTATTTTGCTCTCTTAGTATCATAATACAGCCATTTAAGTTATGTTCAAAAGAGATGCTATTGTATACTTAGCAGGTACATTCAAACACCAAATGATACATTTGTGTTTTGGAAACTGGTGGACTTTATAATTACATTAAAAGACAACAAAGAATGTAGTAGTGTTTTCAAAACATTGTAGTAGAAAAACCAAGACAAACTACTGGATAGGATGACTGCTAGCCTTAATGTATAAAAAGAAGATGCTTGATTTGGAATGAATGAGATAACACTGCTCTCTGAAGTACTTTTTCTTTCTGTAATACAAATATAATGTATTACAGGAATCTGCATAATCATCTGATTAACAACATAAACCAAAACAAGTCCAGCTAAAATTTTGATAAATCAATACATAAAACAATATTTTTAGATACAGAGGAGCTGGCAGTATAATTCATTTTTAAATTTGTTATGTACTAATTATCATATGGTGATATCAAATGCCACTTGTCAGCAGGAGTTTTCTAAGTGTTTGTATAAAAGCTTCATCCTGTGTACATAGGGATTCCTATTATGGTTGTATCCAATGTAGGTTTAGAGTAGACACACTGAAGTAAATGAGACTTAGGCTAACACTGGATAGTTAGTGCAGAGATTATGCCCCTGCTTGTTATGGTAGAATTCTCCACCTGTATTCCACATTGGTAATTCTCAAAGTATTTTTGAGTTTGAACAGTGAGAAAGGAAGATGACAGCTGAAGGTGCTGAGGTGAGGAATGACACCTGGTGGTTAGGGTGCTGTTCACCTAACCTTGAAGAATTTGCCACATCTACTTATGAGATAAAATAAAGGTTTTTTAATGGTTGTATTAGCCTTTCAAAAGTAATTCATGGACCCACAATTTATATACAGTTTATTCTACTAGAGATTGTAATTTTATACATACTATAAAAGGGATTCTGATAGCACACGCATACTGACTTTACCATAATGCGTAAGAACCATTTTACATAATAACTATCAAGCATCCTATCATTTAAACAGTATCCAGGTTTTAAAAAAAAAAAAACTACATATAAATTGAAGTTTATCATATACACAGAATGTTGCCATAATATTTTAATCACAATAAACAAAACACTGTGGTTTAAAACTAATTTGAAATTGTGATGGCCCATGTGGTATGACTCAGATATGATTACTCCCTGTAAGAATCACAAAAATAGCATTAAATTCCAGAAAAAGATGAGACTTATCTTCATAGTTCCAGAATAAACTTTTCATAAATAACCAAGTTTACAAAGCATTCAATTTATCTTTGAACTTTTTGTTTTTTTAATTGCAATATCAAATGAGAACAGAGCAACAGATCATCAGTATTATTGTTAGTTTGCTAAACAGGAATGTTGTTTGAGTACTGCAGCGCACAGATTGGTATCCTGCCCTCAGCCTGGGACTGAATAGACTAAAGCGTGATCAAAGGAACAGAATTTCTCTGTGCCTTGGCCAGTAGACTTGGTATTTCTCCTCCCCACATTGATTTAAAAACTGTGTTATAAACCATCTTCAGTGTGTACAAAATAACCATGGAAACCAAACCTTAACCATGTAAACAAATCAGCACACAATTTCTTCATTTTCCCTTTATAGCATGATGGGGGAAGGGTGAATATCCTTCTGTTCAGAGGGATGGCAAGTCTTTTGAGAAGAACCACAACACCACCAACACATATAAATCATGGGCTATATTCACAGAGACTTTCCAATGCTTTTATCCCCACCCATTCCTCTCCCTAATAGTTCATGAATGTTTTGAATTCAATAAATAGTACAAAAATATTCCTTTATTTAAAAATCTTGAGATGCACTGTCCCAGGTCCTATACAACAATTCATAAGAGTAATATACTATTCTTTAAAAAAACAGCCTCAGCAAATGAAAACTGTGTAGCAACAACTATTTCTGGATCCAGCACCTCCTTGTCTCTGGCTGCAAAGATTTCTGTTCTTCCAGTTAAGGAAACCGAAGATCTCCTGCTCCTTCATCTGAGCAGACTCTTTTCTTGGCTCAGACTAACAGGATTCAAAAGGCTCCATTTACTGTATAAACCTTCCTGTGTTTGGAGGATGAACATTCCTACTATTCCATTTTATTGAAAGTTATGGCAGGTTTATTCATCATGCTAATTTCTCTTCCACTTTAGAGTCAACCATACATTCTAGAATGTAAAGTTTTCATGTGAAATGAGTTCCATGAAGTTAGTCAAGCCAATGCCTGGTAAAAGTATAAATGTTAAGTCTGGCCTTCACTATCTGGATCAGTGCTTACTGGCTGCATTTTGCTCAACATCAGAGGTTGTTAACATTCTGCATCTACTGTATGTACTGTGACTGCAGCCTGTAAGTGGTGACTGTGGTGTAATGCTGGATGGTGCAACCTGTAGTGGTGGAACTTATGACTCAAGAGCGCAGCAGTCTGAGGAGGGGTGTCCAGATCTAAATCTTCATCATGATTTCCCACATCTACACCAGCCGATAATGGGTCATTATTGCAGGGAGGGTTTTCACTGTCTTCCTGAGGACTCATAGTACTGTATCCTGAAAAGTAAAGCCACACTGGTAAGAAATGATAACTTTGTAGCAAAAAGGGCAAAAATATGTGAGGTGCAATACCACAAAGATAACAGAATGCTTACAATGCTTACTGATTCCCATTACTAGAATAATACACTGTAGAAAGCTAGCATATGTACTAGGGTATTCTGTTTCGTTTTAAAATTGCTTCTCTTCCTTGACATTCTTCCTTGAGGTAGTTTTACCAACTTAGAGGCTTGTACTTGAAATGCCAGCTTCCCATAAAACATTAGTACTCAGTATAGACAGAATCAAAATCCAAAAAGGCAACTTCCTAGAGGTTTATACCAATAAAGTCCTTTGTCTGAGGCCATCAACAAACTACAAACAGTTTTTGGAGATGTGTGGTTCAGACAAAAAAAATCAATGGATTTGAACTAGAAATTAACTCACTCGTTCTCCCAAAAAAGCTTTTGAAAAGGAACACCATAAAAGCAAGAGCAATGTTCATTACAGTGTTAAAAATTTACTGTTCTGATTTCTAGAAAACAATAGGATGGTCACTTTCCCAACAAAGTCTTCAATTATTCTGCCTGTAAGATGGCAGAAGCTACATTACTCTTAATCTTTTAATTTGCTTAAAAATGCTATAGGTAACTCTTATTTATTTCAGAAAGAGATGCATAGGTAAGTGAGTTCTTGTTTCAATGTTCTGTCAAATTTCTTGAATATCATAAGGGATGAGGTGGGATTTGGTGGGAGCAAGCAGCAAATATGACAGTCTATTAATTTCTTGAATTAACATGGATTTCCATTGACTTTTCTCAGATTTTGATTCTTATGGCCATAAGCATCAGCTTGCATAGCGTAATCCATATTTCATTAACTGTCACAGCATTGAAAAAATCAGACGTATTCAATCTATAAGGTAAGCACCTAACTTGTCCTTTTTTCAGAAAGATGAAGAGATCCAATTCAAAACTTCAATAGACTCCATGGCCAACATATTTCACAGAATTACAATTCACAGTTGATCAGGCAATAAATACCCTTACTAAAAGTGCATATGGTAGATTTCAGCTGCACTATTATGCATGCTAAATGTGGGACTAAAGTGCCTGAGGGAGCACCTTTTCCCATATCAACCTGCCCTTTCAGTGAGATCTATAGGTCAGAACCTTCTGCTTGTGCCACCTCATGCACATGTACAACTTACAGCAACCAGGGGAGGACTTTTTCCATAGTGGTACTGCACCTTTGGAATTCCACAGTGTGACAACCACTATCTTTGATGCAGTTCTGCTAACTGTTAAAACTCACCTGACTGATTTTAATACCTAGTTGAATAGATCTTGTTTGTTTTCATCTTTTTATTTTAATGATGGTTTTAATTAATTTTGTATATCACTCTGTAATTTGGACAGTATATAAATAAAATAAACTTGACAAGATTCAATTCCAGGGCAGCAGGCATGATATTGGGCTATCACTGATTACTGCAACTTGAATGTGTAGCCTGTTTCAGATGCATGGTGAAATGTGGGCCCAATAAAATAGGCTATACAATACATCAGAAGGGCTTTTATTGAGGCCCAACACAAACGGAAGATAGGGGTTGGAGTTTTCACATGCACAGAAGATAAAACTAATGAGAGAGCAGCAAAAGCCTCCACAAATCTCCTTGACTGCACAGTGGAAACGAACGTCTCTGGCAAAGTGGTGCATTGACCCAACAGCACACACAGTGCTTTCCGAATTCTCTGCAAATTACGGGAAAATTGGGAAGGGATGTTTCTTTTATCCAGCACGAAGAAGGATGTGGTGGTTCTCATCATGCTGAGTAAGTCCAGTGTGATTTGAAAGGGAGAAGTTTCCTTCCTTTCTTAGAGTCTTCTAATACCTACAAGTGATCAGTACTAAGCACAAATAATGCATGGCTACTGATCAAAGGCTATGTTTGTGGGCTACTAATGATAAGGAAAGAGGAGAAATGGGGCAAATAGGACCTAGCTTATTTTCCCTTTTATTCCCATTGTCTTCATTCTTTTTGCTTAGTGATGATACCCAGTGATGCTACCCAAAGATGGCCTCTTTCCTGGGATCATTCTGCACCCTTTCCTCCATTAAAAAAACTTTTGTGAGAAGCCAGAGTAGTTAATTCCTTTCTAGATGCCCCCATATGAGGAAAGCATGTCAGACAGAACAAAACACTGACAGGAGAGAAGACAAAGATGAGGAGGAACAAGTGAGGACAACATATTCTCTTCCTTCCTTTGTTCATCGCTGCTCTTACATTGGTGGCTTCCTCCCTGTACAAAGTGTGCAAAGAAGCCTGGTCATGGCCTTAGGACCACAATGCATTGTGACATTTTGGGTGCCACTTGCATCACAGTTTGGGGCAGCTCCATTTTGTCCTATTAGATTCCTGTTTTTGGCACTGCATTCTCTGAACCGTTTTGTATATCATTATGTGGACTGGTCAGTGTGTACATGATAGTGCTGATCTAAACTAGTCTGATGACCCACTTGCAACTAGCCAAAAGTGATCAAGAGTAGAATAAAAAAATCCATAAAAACCCCAGCAGTTACATAAATCTGTCCTGTTGTCTGCTTTTCTGGACATTTATATGTCATTTGTGATCAGCAAAGATGGAAAATCAGAACATAGAATAGGTACCATTCAGCAGGAAAAGGAATTGTTCTGAGCCGATCTAACAGACTTGTTCAGTACTGTAATTGTGACAATGGTGTTACACTGAGAAAACAAAATCAAAATATATAGCAATATAAGCCCCTGTATGAGATCTCATTTGTCGCTCCTTTCATCTGCTTTAGGGCCTTCATTTACCTTTCAGTTATTGGCAACATTGATTGGAGACTACACCATTAAAACCCATGGTTCCTGGATATATTTCAACCAATTTGTCTGACTGCACTTTAGTAAGCCTTTGAAGTTCAGCTACAAAGGATGCAAATGGAAAATGTCCCAAACAGAAAATGTCCCAAAGCAATATCCTACATCACCTACAAAATGCCATCATGGCATATTAAGGAGAATATTTATAAACATAGGTAACACAAATAGATATAAAGGTTGCATAGCTGTAGCTAGTTCTTCAAGTGGTCACCTGTGCATTCCCACATATGGGTGCTGCGCCTGTGCAGTGCCTTATTTGGAAAGATTTCTTTGGCTTAGCCTGGAATGTTTCATGGGAGCCCCACCCACTCCCTTCCCCTATATAATTGGTGGGCTCCCACCATTTTCTCAGTTTCACTGGAGACTGACATTTGCCACCTATGTGTGTTGTAAGTAAATCATGAGATGTGTCTACCACCCAATAAATATTAATATTGAAAGCGAAGTCTGCACATAGTGTTATTAGTGAGTCACTGACACTGATGCAGGGCTGGTGGGTGGGTTGTGTGAATGCACAGATGACCACTTGAAGAACTACAGTTACAACTATGCAACTTGCTTTTCCTGGTCGTGGTCTCTGTGCATCATACATATGGGTGATTAGCAAGCATCCCTGATCAGAGGTAGGAGGTGTTGGCAGGGAACACAGAACCTATATGTAAGTCCAAGACAAGAATGAGACATAATTCAAACTCATGTCCTATGAACTCATTTATCAAACATGAAAAACAGATGAACTGAACCAACTAAAGTTTAACTGAACCCTACTAAAGTTTTTGATTCCCAGTCAGTGTGATGGTGCACTGTGACAATCTGCTGCTTCAATAGCTGCAAACCCTCTGTGAGGAAAACCTTTGCCAGTTCTCTCTGTTGGCCCGGTAAGAAGGCTGCTTGCATTTCCATTTTTTGCCACAGGAAGACCTGGTACTTCCCCATCATAGCCTCGTAACTGGATATGCGGAGGCCCAGGCCTGTTGCTGCATAGATGTGGTGCGCCATCATGTCAAATTGTTGTCCTTCTCTATCATTTGGAGTGGTGTGGTCCCTCTGATATCTGTACTTCATTGACTCCACTATCATAGAGTTCAGGTGGGGATGATTCAGGAGATTTGGAATGTCCTTTTCCTGAACCCAGTACATCCTCTCCAATCACTGAGAAGTCGGGTGAGGATGGTAAGGAGTCTCCCAAGGCTCTTTTATTGCTTTGGCTAGAGCCAGCATAAGAAGTATGGCTATTGGAACAGCATCCTCCATACAGATAATATCATACACAATGTCCTCTCTCTGGTTGGTAACCTGCTATACTTGAATGCCAAGAAATTTAGCCATATGGAGGACATGTTCTGAAAATTTCCCAAACTCTCACCAGGAGAGCCTTGGCCCTGGCCCTAAGAGGAGACGACCTCCTCTGGTGAAGTGGAGACAGGTTCAGTCAGTTCTGAGGAATCAGATTCCACATAGTCCATGGGGCCCGAAGAATCTGAGCCAGAAGACGGAGAGAGCAGCCGATGGATACCTTCCTGCGGAGCATGAGTTCCAGAGGTGCTAGGTCCTTGTTTGCTTCTTGGTAGGCAGCTTGGGGGTGACCCATGCTGGGGCAATCTTCCAGACAAAGCCAGTCAGGTATACTGCTGGGGTTCAACTGTCAAATCCCACTGGTAACATTGGTGATAATGGGGTGGAGGTGGGAACCATTACGAATGTCCACTGAATGCTGGATCCACAAGATAGATGGAGCAGCAAGATGAGGCTGGTGACAGTTGAGCAGGTGACAGTATGAAAAAAGGGTGAGTGATCTGTGATGTCGGAATTGAGGGCAACTTAGCTGGTGAACAGAGCGGAGAACCTCTGATTTCCCCATCAGAATACGATACTGGAGCCAGGCGCTCAGGTTGGACCTTGTGTTCCAAAGGAACAGTTGTCAGGGACCATCAAATTGGAGATCCTCAAGTCAGTGATTCCCTCAGTTTGGAGGGCCCCACAGGAGTCGCCTTTCCTGATGGGGGTTTGTGACATTCCACACCGGTAGGTGAATGTTCTGCCCATTTGGAGTGCTTCTTCTGCTTCTTGGCCTTTTTTGCCAATCCAGAATCCTCAGATTTGAGGTGCTTTCTTTTCTCCTTCCTTTTCTTGGGCAACTCCGATTTGACAGAAAGGTCAGTTTGGGAGGTAGTCGGCTTAGATGTTGTACCAGTTGCCAGGTGCTTTTTACAGGCCTCTTTAGGGGCCGAAGTGGCCTGCTTTCCTTTTTCCACCACCTCACACATAGCTCCAAGTGTGCAGTCCCATGTTTCCATGCGGAGCCTGTGCAGTCCCATGTTTCCATGAGGAGCCTGCCTGCACGGTTTCTGCAAGCCTGCTTCATAAAGGCTTGGCAGTGCTTACATTTATCTACACAATGCTCCTTGTCCAAGCAGAATTGACACAAGGAGTGCCCATCAGAAGATGGCATCTTAACACTGCAGCTGGCACACTTTCTGAATGCTGGTTTGCTCAGTGACACTGGGTAAGTAGAAGGGTAAAGATGAACAAAGGTTTTTTTTAAATCTTTATAAGTGGAGCTGAAGAAGGGGAAGGGGGAGGGGGATGAAAGGAAGATGGGGATTGAAAAACTGAATGACTACAGAAGAACATGTGAAAGGAAAAGCAATTGAAAGTAAGTTCTAAGGCAAGAAAGTTCTGAGGACAAAGCGAAACGAAGAATGCTAGAGACACCCAATGCACCTTGCAAACAGTGTTCAAAAGTGAACTAAGAAAATAGCAGGAGCCTGGAGGGGGGAAGGCGGTGGAGCTCCCATGGAAAGTTCTAGACTAAGCTAGAGAAATCTTCCCGAATAAGGAACTGCTCAGGCCAAGCACCCATATGTGTGATGCACAGAGACGAGGACAAAGAATTTCAACCTCTAAAAATAATCCATTAGAAGAAAAATATACATTATATGCCAAGTCTGCAAATTAGAAGTCTGCAAATTTTGCACAAAATTTCTATTGCATTATGCAATGCATTGCAAGTGTATTTTGAGTATATGAGATTTACATAAATTTGCAAACAGAATAAAAGGGAAAAAAAATCACCAGCCCCACACATCCAACATAATTCACTCATCTGTGAAAGCTTTTTAACTATACCAGTCTGTGAGGACCAATACTCCTAACAACAGTGCCATGCTACTGTACCACCTGTTTTATCATGGCCTTAATTCCTGAAGTCATGAAGTTGCTAATCAGTGTATTGAAAAAATGAACCAGTTTCAGTTAAGCTACAGATTTCCTCTAAAACAGTTAATTTTTCCAAACTAAGAGAATGAATTCTTCTTGTTACCATCTATGTTATTCATAGCTAAGGTATTTATATTTTATGATGTCATTATAGTAAGATGGCCTTCACTTATTTGCATTTATTTGGAGTTTGTTTTATGTATGTCTTCCTGTTCTTGGCTTTGTTTACCATTATGCAGTCTTTCATTTGTTGCTTCTACTTTTATTTCGGATTTGCCTCCCTCACAATGTAGAAATACATGCACACCTCTATGTCTGCAATCTTTTATTATGTCTATATATTATATTGACATAATATATTTGCATTAGATGGGAAAACAGAAAGTTCAACATATTTCTTTGGAACCATTTTGCATACATTGGATTATAGAATGCATTAGAAGTATCTGCAATGAAATGGTATCTTAACACTATTTAGAAAAGTTAACAAATATTTTTAAAAGTAGCATATAATGATAGCACTCCATTTTGTAGTAAGATCTATACTCTCTAATCTTGTGCTAATCTCACCAAATTAAAGGAGAAAAAGAAATATTTGCACTATACATGCCCCAAATGGGTAATTTAAAATGAGAAACACAGGTAATGGCCTTTACAAGCATCAAATGTGCCATTCTAAAAGCTCATACATCTAAAAGCACTAGTTGTTCTAAGTCTATGAAAACTTTACTTTGCTTCTGGAGACAAAGGGTTATAACCAATATGAGTCCTATTTAAAGAAGAGTTGTTGAAATGAATAGGAATTTAGTTATACTTACACTTGAGGCAACCTTGTTGCATCCCAGTTATGTGCATTATACCCAACTCTTTCATGAAGTGTTCATGCATTAAATTTGTTGGAGTATACTTAAAACATCTTCAGTCCTAAAATTATATGACTAAAATGGTACATTGTGACTGCAACACATTTGTAAACGTGTGTATTATCTCAGCAGTCTCTCATTCTGGAGTCCCTTGAGCCTTGCAGAGGAAGCTGGAATTTACTGTGCTTTTTTGCCAGACTATTGGTAACTTTTGCATTGTAAGAAATTTGTCACATTTTGTTTCTCCAGCCTGCAGGTACTGAAGAGGAATACTAACCCCACCATCAAGCAATAGAATATTGTTGAAAGTGGGCAGGGACAGAGGACCAGTTTACTTTTATTTGACAGCTGACAGATTAGAGACAACTGAAAATTTACATGGGAGAATTGTTACTCTTTGAAAAGGACTGTACCACATAGCTGCTTATAGATTCCAATCAGCCCTCTGTGCAATAGACTGGATGGAGATGTTGCCATCTAGAAACATTCAAGGACTCCAAGAAATCAAATACATAGTTCTCTTCCTGTCCCACATTTAGCAACATAACGCATCTGTATTTATAGTAAAAGTGACATGAAGATACAGCTGACAACCCTGGTATATACCCCTGCTAAATTCACATTAATCCTCTTAGTAAGCTCATCAACTTGATACAGGTTTTAAGACTTTGAAGCAGCTGTTCACTCTTACTAGTTTTTTGTCATAGGTCAATTATGTGGCAAAAAAATTCACAGCCTTATGACAATGGAAATGTCAGAAACCCCAAATGTTATTAGCACAAACATATTTCACATACACACACACAAATATATCCATCCATCCATGATATATGTTTTCTTTTGCATTATCCTTCTATTGTTACGATGCATAACAGCAAGTCAAGAGGGCAATCAACATTTTAAAATCTAATTCAGGCTTAATGACCAGAAGGACATCCTTGGTATACATAGCTAGTAATGAAAATCTTTGTCAAATATTTGCAGTCTGCTTCAAATGCCACAGATAGTGCATTCCCTATAGGCCCTTTACAGCATCTAGAGGGAGGAAGGGTTTTTTGGAGTTCCAGCTTCCATCCCAGGACTCCACACTTGGAGTGTCCTCTCCACTATTTGCAGCTGATGTAAAAAGAACTGTGACAGGAATTTAAACGATGGAGTGGGGAGGCGATCAGTGCTGTCAAGACATGAGGTTCCCTGGTGGCACCTCAGCCTCCTTCCTTCCCATTCCCAAGCATAGAAGTTAGACAGCTGAAATTAACCATCTAGGTGTTCTGCAGGACAAAAGGTGAGTAGAAGGTGAGCTTCACCTCTACACACTTCCCAGCCAGCACAGGATACCCACAATCCCCTTAGTTCAAAGTATTACAGGCATCCCCAGAGGACTGCACCCAAATAAATAATACAAAACCTAGCTTTCCTTGTGTTTTCTGAAGAATTTAAAAGGCATCTGGCTTGTCTGAAGGGGAAAAGAGTGCATGTAAATTCAGTAGAGCTATGCCTTTTAGAATGCTGAACACAGTTGGTATCATCCATGATTAAGATACTAAGCAGAGACTTAAGTCAAACAATTCATATCAGAATATCACCCTGACAAAAATAGTTTCAATGCTGCAGAATGTCTTGCCATGGAATGAAAGTGTCAAATTTGTTTTCAGTATGAAAAAATCAAGTACAGCACTGGAGCTGGGATAACTTTCATTGAAGATTTACCTGCAACATTGCCAAATAAAATAGGCATGCGGTACAGATGTCAGCAGATTCCAAGATCTTACCATGATCACTTTCTGTTCCTGATCGTCCCCAGTAGCGACGTCGACGTTCAGGGCTGTGAGCATGTCGTTCAATAACTGCTGCTATAAACCGTGTGTTACTGACTAGGAATGAATGGGGGGAAAGGGGCAAAGCTTATGTTGGTTACACATTCAACAAAAAAATTCAAAGAAACTTTAACAGATGACAATATACAACAGTTCATTATAGGATTATTGTGAGATTCCAATATTTATCAAACTACTACATCTCACAACGAAAAGAACAGCTGCTGATTTTGTAACCTAGGCTAGTACTGTGAGTTCTTTGAAATAAAATCTTGAAGCAAATTATGTCTGTCTTAAAAGTACAATGCTTGCTGCAAAAATGCCAGAGCAGTTGCTACGTAAAACCTGATGAGGCAAATAGAATAACCTGTAGAATAATAGCTGTGGATTCAATCTGCTACATTTATACCTAACTTTTGAACTCCTTGAAAACAAACCATTTATATCTGGGGGGCTGAGTTAATGCCTGAAAACATATTGTTAGCGAGGGCACAGAAATCAGCAAGTCAAAATCAACTGCAGTTCATGAATCATCTGTTTGGTTTTGGGCTATAAATGTATTTTCCACATTGTGTTTGCTGTTTGGAAGAATGCATAAAGGCAGGAAATTGTGGTGCAATACAATGGACAAAAAGTTGGCCCTAGCTTCAAATCAGCACTCTGCCACAAACTCCAAGGGTGGTCTTAGACAAGTCAATGTTTTCTATTGGTTCCAGTTTGAAAAAGGGCAAATATTACAGCCACAGAGGACTGAGGAAAGGATGAATGGGGCAAAAATGGTAAATCTGCCCACTTGAAATGGATATAGAAGCAATAAATGCTGCATTTTAGCTGTAGGAAAGGCAGGAAAAAAGAGCATGGAGCATCTCCCCATATTCTTCCCCACCTTGAACTACAATATGACTGCTGAATACTTACTGATTCCTCTGTCTTCGTGACTGTCATCATCCCTCTCATCCCTATCATTCTCCAGGTTGGACATGCGGACTGACATTTCTACACACCATTACAAACAGAAAAATGCAACTGTTAAAGAGAAAAATGTTGCATTAGCCTGTAAGAGTGCAATGCTTTCAAAGTGGCCATAGGATGCCCCTCTTTTGGGAACAAGGTACCTGAGACCCAGAAAGCATGCAGCAAGCCATTTTAATAATTTGGTGGAAGTAGGAACAGAGTAGATAGCAAAAGTTAAAAATGGGTACAAACTTGCTAGCCTTTTCTCCTCGTTTGAGTCACCATAGAAAACCAACCATCATAAAATATGAATAACTCATTACGTATTGATGCTAGGTAATTCCTACTGATTTCAACTTTTCAATTGTTGCCTTCTAAGCATCTACCTAATTAGAACCAAAAATGCCATTTCAACTTACTTATTAACCATGATCTGGTTCATATACCATGACAATCCCCATTCAAGGCTGAGCATGGGTTGTCAATGAACTGGGTTGTTGTGCTATGTAAAGCTAGCCCTGCTGACAAGCTTTGCTTTGTTAACCATAAACAACTAACAGTTCACAAACAAACAAGTATGGGTTCTCTTTGTAGGCTATTCATGGATAATTAAAAATGGGTTGTTAGTACAGCTGGGTTCACAAAGCACAACTACCTGACTCAACAATTACCCATGTTTTAACAACAACCTACATTCATCCCTAAGTCAACCTTAAGTGTGGATCGTCATGTTAGTTGAACCCAGTCAGTGCCCTCTAAAAATAATGTATTATGGTCAGTTTGTTTTGACAGCCATCTGTCTCCATAAGATAATACACTCTAGAAACTTTGTAAAGCTTTGGCCAGGTTCTATTTTTTTCTGGGGCAGCAACTTTTTCTTAGCTCCTGTGTAACTCTTGCTGACCTCCTGTGTATGCTTGCCTAGTGTTTGTAAAGTGGTGCCCAACATTCATGTAGCATATTATAAATATTATCTGTCCTACTACAAAGAAGATAGGAATGCCATAACAGCAACCGCTGTTTTGCTTCTAAAACAAAAGATTGTTCAGAGAGAATATATCTGTCTCATATTCAATTAGAAAAGTGTAATGTTTCTTTCAAAAAAGAAAAAAAAAAGAACTTCAGAAGCAGGACACAATTCATCTGGATTCCTAAGTCCTAAGGAATTCCTAAGTCCTAAAGGGAAAAATCGGATCTGCAAGAACGTAGAAGGAGAAGCTTTTATGTTTTTCAGGTCAACAAGAAGAGCAGTAAATATTTCTGTATCCAGTAGAGGGCAGTGGTTCTCATTCTATGTTAAAGCAGATGTGAATAAGCTGAATATTTCAGGATGTATGATTATAAATAAAAGGAAAAGAGGGAAAACTTCAAAACTAATTAAGTTTCAGCTACTAGGTCCACACAACACTCTGCACACCTGCCCTTGAGCAAAACATTTTTAAGCGTACCTTGGGCTGCAAGTGGAGACATATGTTGGTGACTTCTGCGGTGGATCTGGTGACGATAAGCATAGACTGCCAGAACTAGAACCATAATGCATCCCATGATACCTCCTGCTACAGGTCCAACTGGAGCACTTTTTATCATATTCAGTGCTATCACTTCATCTCCTTAATTCAGAAAGAGACAAATACAAAAGTGTATGTGAATATTCTGGGAAAAGTTGTAACCACCTTCAATGTAGGTAAGAGGCTTGAGTGAAACCTACAACTATAATCTTGATCGTACACAGATATTTCCAAAGGAATACATGAGGACATGTCAGTTTTTAAAATGGCAACTAATAGAAATATCAATCTGTTTGGTGCAGTGTTTCAATGTAACATATGAACCATAGGACGATCAACTACAATAAGTCTGGAAGCAGCTCTTGCCTACAAACCGTACTGTGCAGTCCACAAGTTGCTGTACAGTCCAGGGGGTATCATGAAAAATAAATAAAAATAAAATTGATTTGCTGCTGAAATTTGTCAACAAAATGTTCATAGTGCTAAAAGCACAGAGTACTATTAGCTTCAGGATAAGTTAAGTTTGACCCTTTTAGTGCTAAAAGCACTATTTTTTGCCACCACCAAATTCAGTGGCATGGCATAGGCTGAATGTGACCCACAGACCTCAAATTATCAAACCCTGACAAACAGTGATATATGGAAACATTATCAGTGTCTAAAAGTGCTGTACATTATGCAGGGCAGTCAATTATTCTGCTGTTCCAAGTAATTGTACCAGGAGCTTTAAGAAGTATATGCCATCATCTTTTGGGCTAAAAGATGCTGGCTCACAATGTCAGACTGCACTCTGTTTTTCAGGCACTCATAACCCCTTCTGCCACCTCAAGTAACTTCTGAGTTGTATGTGGAATTTGGTTTGAGCGGGAATTCAATGGATTCTCTGGACTTGGCTGTCTAGACTCTGGTCCACATTGTCACAGTCATGAGTCCAAGTTTCTAGCAAGCATGCCCAGCATCTGTGCAGCACTAACCAGGAATCAAGTCCTACATGGCTGCTGTGCAAGCAGAGTCCCTCTTCTGTGTCAAATGCAGCAGCCTTTCTGTACATAAGAAGGTTGCCAGTTGCACAACCTTCCCATAAATGTCTGTGAATTTTCCTTTGGCTTGGCTCACTTTCTAAGACTAGGCTGAGCACAAGAGGACATCCATGAACTCTACAGAGACAGACTGTAACACTACCCACCCTTACCAATGGCTCCCATATCTTCCACATAAGGGCTTTTGGCACCCACAATACCACCAAAGCATTCTTTCTGAAGAGCGCAGTAGGGTTTATCTAGGTGGTTCTTTCCATCACTATCCACCATGCACCACTCACAGTCTAAGACCCCAAAACAATCCCTGCAAGATAAGGAGATTACAATGACTATTAACATTCTTAGAACACTGCTCTCAGGTTTATTATCACACACTGATGAAGCTAATCTTAAATGTTCCCAGCTTAAGGCTTTCTTTTCTTTAAAAGTTGTATGAAGCCATTTTTGTTGTTATTCCATCTGTTTGATTGGCACAAGGTCTGCTGGATGAATAATAAAATTTGAGTGCAGGTGTAGCTAACCTGGTGCCCTGCCAGACATTTTGGACTGCAAGTTTTATTCCTCACCATCAGTCACACTGACTGTGGCTTATGGGAAATAGGGTCCAAAGAATCTGTAGGGCTGCCTACAGAAGTTGCCCATCCCACTTTTAGTTTATCCACCTTGCATTTTAGTTTACCCACCTAGTTTTGCCACATAATGTTTTCAAGGCTTCTCTAACCCTGTTTATTATATTTATATCCCATACTTTTTTCTTCCAAAGGACTCAAGGCAACTTATATTATTCTCTTCCTCCTCTCAATCTTAGCCTCAAAACAACAGGTACTTGGCTTTTATGAGAACTTGTCACTACAATAAAGATGTGTAATCTGAATTTACTAAGCTAAGTTTATGCATTACAACCCTACTTTGTATTACTGCTTTAAGACAAGTACAGTGGTTCTTTTTTTCCTGCCAAAATCCAGTATAAGATTTAAACATGACACTATTTCTGTCCTATGGGCATTTTCTCCATCAATTCTAAGCCCAACTTAATCATTACACAATAAAGGCAAATAAAGCTTGCTTTTGGATTTTTTAAAAAAAGAAAATAATTTACCCGCTTTCCATCCTTTGATTACAGCGTGTATTAATACATTGAGGAAGAGCATCTTGCACACTCGGATCAACTGCAGTAAATGTCATAGGTTCCTGATGGACTTCACAACTAGGATTCCTATGTTTTGGAGGAGAATAGGGATAATTAAGGAATCAGGAAGTTCTGTAACTTGTGTTTTAAGTAAAAACAGAGACAACAATCCCCTCCCCTTTTTTATCACCTTAAAGCATACTACACAGTACACAAGTTTCCACATAGGGAAATTTCCATGCATAAATATTGTGAACTTTAACTTTAATACAAAATCCTTTTTGTGCTGCTCTTGTTTACCTGCTTTCTGCATTGGTAAGATTGCCGGTGCACTCATTGACCTCCAGAGGGCACTCGCAAGGACATTCACATTCATTCTGCTCCATTCTTCAAGATGGGAAAAAGAACAAATATGTTGCTACTATTAGAAGCACAGAACTTAGCAGGAACAGGCTTTTAATTGTCCTTGCACCTCTTATGCTAAGCCAAGAAAACACTTTCGGGGTGGGGTTACAGATCTTTCTCCTACTTATAAGCCTACCAGGTATACTTTGCCAAGGATGCTACAGTATGGCTTATTCTTCCAGTACATTTACAGTGTACTAAGTTAATATGAGTATAACTTAGAAGAACAATGCTTAAACAACAATTCAGGATAAGACCAAAGCCTACCAAGCTCAGCATCCTTTTTCCTAGAGGCAGCCAAACCTGTGTTAGGACCTCATGAACAATGTATGAGGGCTCTAAGTCCTCACCCACTTTTCTACCCCAAGAACAGGGGATTCAGAGGCATGGTGCTGTTAGCTTGTTATAATGAGTAGCCATTATACTGCCTTATCCTTTAAAGTCATCCAAAGTGCTAGCCATCACCACATTTTTGGCAGCAAGTTCTGTAGTTTAACTTCTTCCATTCCTCTCCATAGAATTACCTTGGGATCTAGCTTTATGAGAGGAGGAGGAAAACATCATATTTTCTCATAAACAATTTCAACACAGCATTTTATAAATCTCTACCTTGTTCCCCCTCACCTGCCTTTTTTAGCCCTGAATAGTTGCAGCCTTACTTTGCAATGCAACTTGTTTCAGCCCTCTCATCATGTTATAGTTGTTTTTTCTGCATCTTTACCAGTCCTACAGTATCATTTTTAAGTTATGGTAACCAGAACTGCATACACTATTCCAGGGGCTGCAAGAAGGGCAGGGTTGCTTGCCTCTAACAGTCTTGAGTGGTCATTTATGCATTCTCATGTATGGGTTTTTGTGCCTGCCTATTGTAGGGTGGTGCAGTGGTTTAAACCGTTGTGCTGCTGGGCTGGTTGATCGAAAGGTCGCCAGTTCAAATCAGCACAATGGGGTGAGTTCCTGTTGCTCTGTCCCAGCTCCTGCCAACCTTGTAGTTTGAAAGCATGCAAATGCAAGTAGATAAAAAGGTACCACTTTGGTGGGCAGGTAACAGCGTTCTGTGTACCTCGGTGTTTAGTCATGCTGGCCACATGACCATGGAGACTGTCTGTGGACAAACGCTGGCTCCCTCAGCTAGGAAACAGAGATGAGCACCGCCCCCTAGAGTCAGGCATGACTGGACTTAATGTCAAGGGGAAACCTTTACCTTTTATTGTAGAGAAACTGTTCCAGCTAAATTTTCATTTTGGGTGGAAGCTCTTATCCTTCCTGTTTGCAGGAAGTATGGGAAGATGCTCCCACCATCTGCTCAATTCCTAAAGAGACTGCCATGGATCTCTAGAATAAGGGGAAGGTAGAAGGGTCCTAGCCTATTCTGATCCCAAGCCTCCATGGATAGAGGCATTTTTAGAAAGGTTGGCAGCAAGCGGGTTGTGTGAATGCATAGATGACCACTTAAAGAATGACATATACAGGTAAGCAATCTTCCTTTCTGTTTTGTGGTCTCTGTGCATCACACATATGAGTGACTAGTTAGTTTACCATGTGAAGGAAGAAGGATGCTGTTGACACAGCAGAACAGATGAGAGGGCTGCCCTGCCGAACAGAAGTCTGCCCTTGTGCGAACCACTGTGAAGGGTATAGATCATGGGTCCTCAAACTACAGCCTGAGGGCCAGATATGGCCCGCGATGGTCATTTACCTGGCCCGCCTCAGAGCTTTTGGACTTGTTTGGAGAAAATGATCTCGGAGCAAGTCCGAAAGCTCAGAGCTGGTGCATGTATTCTCTGAAATTCTTTCAGTTTTGGAGACTAGCAGAGAGCCGGTACACGTGCCAAATTGTAACACAGAAACAGAGCGAGTTAGAAAGGGCGTCCCGGGCTATCTAGTCCGACCCTCGGCTTCAGATGGCTCTGCTCACAACATGCCCACCATGGGCATGTCTAGCCTATCTTTGTACACCCTCACTGATGGGGCCTCAACCACCTCCCGTGGAAGCCCATTCCATACCCTCGGGGTCTTAACTGTCAGGAAGTACTTCCTGGCATCTAAATGGAACCTTGGTTCCCTGAGCCCATACTGTCTTCCTCTGCAGGGGAGAACAGGTCTCTACCCACCTCCGTGTGACATCCTCTCACATACTTGTATGTCGTCAACAGATCCCCACTAAGTCTCCTCTTCTCCAGGCTGAAGAGACCCAGTTCCCTCAGCCTCACCTCATACAGCATCCCCTGTAAACCGGCCACCAACCTTGTGGCCTTATGTTGCACTGACTCTAACCTGGGTATATCCTTCCTGTAATGAGGGGTCCAAAACTAAACACAATACTGCAGTTGCAGGCACTCTAGAGTCGTGTAGAGTTATTTGTTTTTCGGCGCCAGGCTAAGACCTTTTTATTTAAGCAACATTTTAAATGCTAAATACAATTGAATTTTATCTGGCCAGGGCGGCTTATTTTATAATGTGAGTTTTAATTAAGATTATTTTATATGGATTTTAACTTGTTTTATCTATGTTGTAAGCCGCCCCGAGGCTTCGGCGAATGGGGCGGCATAAAAATGTTTTAATAAATAAATAAATAAATAAATAAATAAATAGTAATACCTCTCTTGATCTAGAAGCCACACTTCTGGCTATGCAACCAAGGGTGGCGTTCGCCCTTTTGACCACCGCATCACACTGCTGACTCATGTTTAGCCTGCAGTCAACCAGCACCCCAGATCCCTTTCACAAGTGCTGCTCTCCAGCCACATATCCCCTAACCTGTACTTATGACACCCATTCCTATTCCCCAAATGCAAGACCTTGCACTTATCCACATTGAATGCCATCCTGTTGTCTCCTGCCCACTTCCATAGTCTGCTCAGATCCTTTTGGATCTGGAGTACCTGCTCCTCAGTTGTGGCCACTGCCCCAGTTTTAGTATCGTCTGCAAATCTGATCAGCAGATAGTTCACCCCTTCTTCCATGTCAGTGATGAAAAGATTAACAGGATCAGCCCCAGGACAGAGCCCTGGGGGACCCTGCTCATCACTGGCCGCCATCCTGATGATTCCCCACTAATGGTTACCTTCTGCTTTCGGTCAGTCAACCATGCCCTAATCCACCGGACAGTGCTTTGGTGTATCCCAAAACTCCTCAGTTTCTCCACCAGGATATCATGGGGCACTTTGTGAAAGGCCTTGCTGAAATCCAGGTAAACCATATTGACTACATCCTCTCCATCTAGCCACCTTAAAACCTTGTCGTAGAATTCCATGGTGTTGTTGGTAATGGCAATCTGAATATGTGGTGCATGATTTCCCTGTGGTCCTAGGACCCCTGAATTTGCAGGTTACCACATTGCATCCCCCAGCCTGTCATGGAGGCGTGCACTAGGACAGGGTTAGAGTCAGAAAAAGGAGGTGTCCTGGCATGGTTTTGATGTATTTAGAATGGGCAGAAATGATGAGCTGTGCAGGAAAAGCTACTCAAAGAAGGCTTTTTCAAAATCGCCCTCTTTTTAATGGGATGTTAGCCCTATATTAGGGTTAGGGGTGTGCACCAGGATAGGGTTATGGCTAGAAAAACAAGGTGTCCTGGCATGCATTTGATGGTTGGAATGTGTTTAGAATGGGCAGAAATGATAAGTTGTGCAGAAAAGGCTAATCAAGGAAGGCTTTTTCAAAATTGCCCCTTTCAATAGAATTTTAGCCCAGTATTAGGGTTATGGGTGTGTACCAGGGTTCGGTTAGGCCAGTGGTGGCGAACCTATGGCACACTTGCCACAGTGGGCCCGCAGAGCCCTCTCTCTCGGCATGCAAGCCAAGTCACCCCAGCATTGCCCTAACAGTCAAGCATTGGATAATAGTGCACATAGGGGTTATGCGCATGCTCGAAAAAGGAGTAGTGGTGCCAGGCGATGCCACCATGAGCTGCGACTCATCAGCCATGACTTGTTTGAACTTTCACATGGTTGATCAGTGTGCTGCCAAGGGGGGGGGGAGGGGGGAGAGGGGGAGAGAGAGATTAGGTTAGAGCTGCTCTGAGTTGTTTTTTCTAAACTAAAACCTCAATTTTCTGAATTTATTGTAGTGCTGGCACTTCACGATAAATAAGTGGGTTTCGGGTTGCAGTTTGGGCACTTGGTTTCTAAAAGGCTTGCCATCACTGGGCTAGGATGTGATCAATCATAGTGCAGGATGGGTCAAGGCCCTGTGCTTTGGAGGAAGAAGTGTGCATTCCATTTTGCTAGATAGGACCTGCATGTGGAGGGCTTAAGCGCAGCCTGAAAGATGGCAGTGAACTGCTGGAGGGAGGTAGCCATAGGGATCTGTCACATAATGATCCTCCAAGCTGTCAGGCAGAGGGTCTTGGTGTCAGCACGTAGCACCCTGCCCCCCTCCTGGAACAGGAGGTTCTGCCATAGCAGGAGGTGAAAGGAGGACTGTCTGGACAGCCAGAGGAGGAGGGGGAACCAGGGCTGCCTTGACCATCAGGTGGTGAGCAGAATGTAGTTAGTCCTGTACCTTTGGATTTTGGCCACTACCCTGGTGATCAGGGGAAGTGGGGGAAGGCATAGAACAGAGCACCCTTCCACTTGTGGAGAAAAATGTTCCCCATGAACATCCTGCCGTGTCCTGCCTTGGAGCAAAAGTGCTCGCATTTGGCATTCAGGGGGGTTGCAAAAAGGTGCACCTCTGGGTGCCCCATTTCTTGCAGTGTGTGTAAAAGATGAAGGTCTCCAGTTCCCACTCCTATGGGACAGAGGGGGAATGTCTCAGGGAGTCCGCCAGGGTGTTTAGGCAGCCTGCAAGGTGAATGGCTGTGGTGGTTATGCCTCTCCTGATGCACCAGTCCCAAATGTTGGATGTGAAGGCTGAAAGGCAGGCAGAGCAGGTCCCACCTTGCTTGTTCAGAGAGTACATGACAGTCGTGTGGTCTGTGGCTATCTGAATGTGCAGTCCTTTCAGGGAGTCCTGAAGACCTTGCAAGCTGCTAGCATTTCCAGCAGGGTGATGTGGAGACCAGACTCATCCAGTTCCCTTTGGCCATGGGCATGCATGTCTGTTCAGTGGGCACCCCAGCCTGTATTCAAAGCGTCTGCTGTGATGGTAGCAGAGGGCTCCTAGGGGTGGAAGGGCACTCTGGTGGCGAGGTTGGCCATGGTGCACCACCAGCAAAGGGAGTGTCTGACTAATGGGGGTGGGGAAAGGAGGGTGGTATGGGGGTCTTCATCCACTGCAAAGGCTTCCACGAACCATAGTTGAAGGGGCCTCATTCAAAAGCGTGTAAGCTACAGCACTGACACGTGGTGGCCATGAGGCCCAGCAGCCTCTGGGTGGTGTGAGCTGTAGAGTGTGCTGCAGTCCTGACGGACGTGGCCAGCAGAATGAGGGTCTCTGCCCATGGTTGTAGAAGGAATGCCTTGGTGTGGGTTGAGTCCAGGCAAGCCACTATGAAGAGGATAGACTGTGTGCAGGAGAGAACGGATTTGTCACCGTTGATGAAGAGCCCCAGGTCCTGCAGGAGGCAGCATGTGATGTATAGCCCACACAGGAGGTCCTCTCTGGAGAGGACTGCCAGGAGCCAGTCATCCATGTAGGGGAACATCTGGACACCCTGGAGCCTAAGGTAGGCGCAGACCACTGCCACACACTTGGAAAAGACAGGGGGAACAGTGGCCAGGCTGAACAGGAGAACACAGAATTGGAAGGTTTCCTCATCTATCTGGAAGTTTAGGAAGTGCCTATAATCGGGATGGATTCTGATATGGAAATAGGTGTCCTTCAGGTTGATAGAGGAGAGCCAGTCCCCCTGGTTAAGCAGGGGAAGGATGCCTTGGAGGGTGACCATTCTAAACCTCTTGGGGGTGATGAACTTGTTCATACCTGAAGATCGAATATTGGCCCGAGGCTTCCATCATGCTTAGGCACAGTGAAGTACTTGGAGGAGAAGCCTGTGCATGCTGTGCTGGGAAGATGCTCTATTGCCCCTTTGGCCAGGAGGGACTGGACTTCCACCATTCTAATATGGCTGAGGGGTGGCAGGGCGTCAAACTCTATCCTGTACCCACATTGGATGATAGAGAGCTCAGGAGTCAGGTGTAATATCCTCCCATGCTGTGAGGAACTGGGCCAGATAGAATGTGAAATTGTGGGGAGGTGTAGGGATGGAGCAGCCTGGATGAAAGCATCAGCATGTTCTGTAGCTAGAAGAGGGAAATAGTTTTCTTTTCTTCCTTTAAAAAAATGTTAGGAGTGAGAGAAGAGAGAAAAAATGGTGAGCAGGTAAACGAGCGGAAGGTCCAATCAGTGAAGCGACTCAAACGTAGTTGAAAAAAACCTGAGGGACTGGGCAGGAACCCCCCCCCCACCCCTCGTCCTGGACAGGGGCAAGCCTGGGCTTCCATGTACTCCATATTGCTGAGCTGTGGAAGTTTTTCTCTGCTCCAGGCCTTGCATTCTGTGGCAAAGCCCATGTGTGTGGGGTGCACAGAGAGTACAAAGAAGTATAGTGGTATCAAAATCCCTCTGCCCTACACTGCAACAAGATCATAGCTCATGCACAGACCTAGGGGCTGTACTCTAGAGTTTGGATATGTGTATTGGTAAAGGAGAATGTAGGGGTTCATCCATATGCACCTGAAGTTTGCCTGGGAGGAAATGGGAGCTCTGATGCAATGCTCCAATCAAGTTCCTCAAATGCTACCATTGGGAATATGGCTCTTTAGTCGCTTTGACTGGGCAGGAGCTCATCTGTACTCAGGCAGCTGCAGCGGAAAAGGAACTACCATTTCTTACCCACACAGGTGACTCTAAGGGCATAAAGGCTGCTTTGGAAGAAACAGGAAGAATATGCCTTGCCCAACTATCAAGATTTTTAGCCACAACCATGAGCACCTGGAATATTTTCACCTGTATGAACACACAGGACATCTAAAAAGACAGCACATGGTCAGGAAGAAGGGTAACAAGATTCTACAAAAACAGGGCTTCAAATATGTCATGAACTTGGTTCACTCACCTGCTGTAAAAATAATGCACATGATCCAATGCTGTGCAGTGCCACTAAATACCATCCTAATATGGCACCTGACTTCAATTTTTTCTTACCTGTGACAGTTCAGACAGAGCCTATCTACCATGCTACAGGCACAGAAGGCAAGCGAGTCACAGGTTTCATTTACTATTCCAACAAAGGCATTGGTTCCAGGTACTCTTGTCAGCTTGTATTTAGAACAGTGGCTGCCATGCACAAGATTTGTCAGATCACCCTAGGGGAAAGCAAAACATGTCAGATACGTGGCAGGGAACATGTTTCCTGGTGAGGTGAAGCATTCCTTCCCTCACAAATATCTGCTAAGCTGTAATTTGAAACACCACTTAGAATGCTAAGAAAGCTTACAGTGTGTCCCAGTATGTAAACTGTGTGGTTCTCATTACCAGGTAGGAAAAGTGCCACCAATATATAGGCTAATCAGAAAGGGAAGCACATGAGCTGTATGGAATGAATTGTTCTGACTGAAGCGCTGTGAAGTAATTGGATGTCACATACACAATACTATTACAATGAACAGGCATAGAATAGACACATCAACTACTTGTTTAGGAAAGCTCTTATTAATTTTGTCAACAACAATTTTTCCCAATGGCAACATTTAAGGTGTCCAGCCACCCACTGTCCTACCCAGTAAACCAATGTGTTAAAGAATTGTGCTGCATCCTAAATCTGTTGTATAATTTCTACTCCTTCCCTGCAAGGAAGAAGAATAAAATGGGGCAAGAGCAATACAATTTAAGCAAGGTAGAAACACAAAACTCTACTTACTTGACCTTGTTCTTTTAATATCATCAATGAATGAATAAGAGGAAAAGCAGGGGAAGCCCTTGGATACAGACCAAGGAACTGTTTAGTCTCACAGTAGCCAAACAGATGGTTCTTGAGAAGCCCACAGGCAGTGCATGAAGGCTACAGTTCCCACTGGCTCTTGTTCCACAGCAACTGGCTACCAAGGCATGTTGCCTTTAATCTTGGAGGCTGACTATAGACATGAGAACTAGTAGCTATTGATAGTTTTTTCCTCCACAGATTGTTCTGATCATGTTTTAAAGTTGTCTAAGTTTCACAGTCACCTCATCACAGTGAATTCCATAGTTTAACCATGCACTTTTCTGAAGACATACTTCCTTTTGTCTAGCTAGATCTCCTACCATTCAGCCTCATCCAATAACTCTGGGTTCTAGTGTTATGAGAGATGGAGAAAAACCTCTCCTTAGCCACTTTCTCCATGAATCTAAGCTAAAGAAGCTTGTTCCAGGTCTAATGTTTGTGGCATATTTGGATGAAAAAATTAATGTGGTGTACTTTTTAAAGCTGTGCTGGCCAATGACATGCCCAACAAAACTAAACAACAACAAAAAAGCCCATACCATTAAGCTGGTATTAAATTTATAAAATCTCTGGACTGTTCTGTCACTGAAACTGTTACAAAGGTTTTTCTTCACAAAGTTTGGATGGTTCAGAATATCATTTGCTACCAAAGGTTCCTGCAAATAGAAGTGTGAGATTTTTATTATAATCTTCATGAAGGATTAAGTAACATATCTATACTGTTAAATTTAACAGCCATGGTTGCATTTGGATAACATGACCACCTACTCTGCAAGCAAGCTACACAGAGTGGGTCATTTCACATGGAGAAACATGGTGGACTCAACAGATGATCAAATTCACCACAAGTTGTCCCCTGCATTCATTTCTCCTACTGTTATTCCAGGGGACCCCGCAGGAAGACCCAGCTTTTCTTCCCTCCCCATGGCAACCATGACTTCTTTTCCGGTCGCCACAGCCTTTTTTCCATTTTACCCTTTTCCTGCTTGCATTTTTACAATCTCTGAACAGTGACAGCCAGTGATAGCTCCTTCCAAGTGCTCAAACAGCTCACTGAAGGTGCTATCACAAGTTCACCATTAAAAAAAATAAGCCCAACCATTTTAAATTTTATATTTTTATTTTTGACTGGTAATTTAGTGTTGCACAAGTACAGAGTTTTCACAATGCACAGCCTTGCCTTTTCAATACCTTTAAAGATATTTATGTGAAACTGCAGGTGGCACCATCCATGGACATTGTCAGTAACTATATAAATAGGTTAATTTGCTTCCCATTCAACAACAGTCAAATAGCAATCTATCAAGTGAGAAGCAATCTACTCTTGACTTTGCTTCTCATTTGATAGCTCACCTCCTGACAATGGCCAAATGGGAAACAAAGCAACAAGTTAACCTATTTGTAGCCTTGCTTTGTCATCATCCATGGATAGTGCCTCCCAGTGCTTTTTTTGTAAGAAAAAATGGTGCCGGCACTCATGAAATTATTTACCTTTCGCATGTAGTCAATCACTGTACACACACTCAAACACGTCAGTTGTGTAATGAAACATATTGGTTGCCACCCGCAGTAAGCACTCAGTGCGTGACAACACAACCAATCACAAGGCGAGCAGTGCCATCACATCCAGCACGGACAAAGTACGCATGCATTGGACTCGACACACAAGCAGCCCGCATGCACCATTTTAATGATTTTGCTGCCGACCTGCTATGCTCAACAGGGCAATTCAAATCCACATGGACCAAACATCAAATTTTCAAAAGTTACTTTTAAAACTTGGAAAATTTGTCGAAAAAAGGTGCCAGAACTCAGTTCCGGTGCATTCTATGACAAAAAAAAGCACTGGCGCCTCCTATATTTTGGCACGAGCGAGAGCATGGATGCTGACAAAGCAAGGCTATGCATAGGTTTATTTCTTGCTTTGCTTCCTGTTTGGCAAAAGTCTAATAGAATGAAGGATGGGCAGTTAGGATAGCTGAACTTACACATGTTCAACTCCCCCCATAACTTTACATAAATCTCAAGCACCAAAAAAATAAAAAATAAAAAAATAAAATCCTGGTGAACCATTTAGGAACTTTGAAGGAGCTGTTCATGGCTGTCACTTTAGACACTGCAAAAAGGGATCTGTGGAAAAAAAGCAGGTTGCTTACCTGTAACCATTGTTATTTGAGTGGTCATCTGCGCATTCACACACATGGGCTTTGCTGTGGAATGCAGGACCCCAGTTGGAGAAAAACTTACAAAGTTCAGAGTCACAGAGTGGGCAGGAACCCAGCCAGGAACCTGTGCAGGTAGCATGGGGGGGGGGGCTCCCACCCAGTCCCTCAATTACCTGAATACAGTGCTGTCCCAGGTGTGCAAGGGAGCTGGAAACCTGTAAAGGACACACTGGTGACCATGCCCTGCCCAAGGTCAGTGCAGGATGTTATGCTGATGACAGCCAGTGGCACGGAGGGTGGGTAGTGTGAATGCACAGATGACCACTCGAAGAATGACAGTTACAGGTAAGCATCCTGCCTTTCTTCTTCGTGGTCTCTGTGCAATCACACACGTGTGACTAACAAGCTTACCATCCAGGAAGAGGGGGCTGTCATCACTGAAGGATCGTGTAGAGTCAAATGTCCAGTCCTGTCCGGCGTGGATGTCTAGATGCTGGAGGTGGACGAAGATTGAGGGCATAGACCATGTTGCAGCCTTGTAGATCTCATGGAGTGAGACGCCAGTTAGGAGCGCAGTAGGTGTGGCCTGTGCATGCGGGGAGTGGGTGCATGGCCAGGCAGAGAGGGGAATCTGCCATTTCGCAGGTGACGGAAATGGTGCAGAAGACCCACTACGATAGTCTCTGGCTGGAGAGAGTTTCCCCCACCTTGGGACCCTCGCAGCACACAAGCAGGCAGTCAGAGCAGTGCAGCAACTCATTCTGGGTCTTGTAGAAGGCAAGGGCTCTGTGGACTTTGAGGAGGTGGTGTGGCCTCGATCGGGGTGGAGCGGTTGGGAAGGAAGGTGATAAGAACAATATACTGTTTAACATGGAATGGAGAGGTCAGCTTAGAAGCAAAAAGTGGGTCTGGTGGAGGACAACCTTGTGTCTGTGGAATGTGGTGAAGGGGGCATCGATCTGGAAAGCGGTTAGTTCGCTGGCACAGCAAATGGATGTGATGGCTATGAGGAATGCAGTCTTCCAGGAGAGGAAGCAGGTCTGATGGGTTCAAAGGGCTTCTTTGGTAAGGACCACGTAGTGGCTCCAGCAGGGAGTGGAGGCCTGGACTGGGGGTGGGGGGCAATGTATTGCAGGCCCTGGAGGGAGTAGCATGCCAGAGGGTGGGCAAACACAGAGAACCCTTGGATATGCGGGGTGGAAGTGTGAAATGGCCACTAGATGAACCCTTAGGGTAGAAGGGGAGAGGCCCATGGCAAAGCAGGTCTGTATGTAACCCAGGATATGCTTGTTAGGGACGGAATTGGGGTTAAGGCCCTGTGCCTTAGGGAAAGTGGCAAAGGCTTTCCATTTTGCTAAATACAGCCTGTAGATGGAGGGCTTGAGAGCGGTCTGAAGGATAAAGGTCAATCACAGTAAGAATCTCTAAGACATCACGCAGGGGATTCTGGTGTTGGGGTGTAGCACCATGCCCCCATCCTGGGACAGGAGGTTGTGCTGTAGGGGAAGGTGGTTGAATGTCTGCTTGGACAGGTGGAGGAAGAAGGGGAGCCAGAGCTCTCAGCCAACAGGGGGTGATCAGGATGCAGCAGGCCTCGTCCCTTTAGAGTTTGGCCACTACTCTGGTGATCAGAGGAAAGGGAGGGAAGGCTTAGAAGAGGGTTCCTTCCCATTTGAGGAAAAAGACATTCCCCATGGACCCCTTGCCCTGTCCCACCCTGGAACAGAAGAGATCGTTATTTGGCATTCAGGGGAGTGGCAAAGAGGTCAACCTCTGAGTACCCCCATTTCTCACAAAGTGTGTGAAAGGTGGAGACCTCCAGTTCCCACTCGTCTGGGAGGAAGGGGGAACAGCTCAGGGAGTCTGCCAGGGTGTTTAGGTGCCCTGCTACATGGACAGTTTGTGAGGGTGATGCCCCTCTTGATGCACCAGTCCCAGATGGCAGATGCAAGGTCTGAGAGGCAGGCAGAATGGGTCCTACCTTGTTTGTTCAGATGTACATGACAGCAGTGTTCTCTGTAGCTATCTGAGCATGGTACTCTCTTAGAGCATTCTGGAAAGACGCAAGGGCCTTGTGGACTGCCAGCATCTCTAGCATGTTGATCTTGAGACCAGACTTGTCTGATTCCCAGTCGCCCTGGGCATGCATGTTTGCACAATGATTGCGCCAAGCGTGTATTTGAGGTATTTGTTGTGATGATGGTGGAGGGCGGGGGGGGGTGGATGGTCATGCCTATGGTGAGATTGGCGATGGTGCCCCACCAGTGGAGGGACTGTTTGTCCACCTGGGGTGGGGACAGGAGAGTGGTGTGGGGGTCTTCATCCACTGCGAAGTGTTCCATGAATCACAGCTGGAGAGGCCTCATACAAAGGCATGTAAGTTGCAGCACTGATACTGTGGTGGCCATGAGGTCCATTAGCCTCTGGATGGTGTGCGCGGTGAAGTGTGCCATGGTCCTGATGGACGTGACCAGCAGCATGAGGGTCCCTGCCTGTGGTAGTGGAAGGAAAGCCTTGGCATGGGTTGAGTCCAGGTGAGCCCTTATGAAGAGGATAAACTCTGCTTGTGGGGGAGATAACAGTTTTGTCACAGTTGATGAGATCCTGCAAGAGGCGGCATGTGGCATGCAAGCTGTGCAGGAGGTTCCCCCTAGAAGAGGCTGATAGGAGCCAGTCATCCTATCCTGTGCTGGTCGACTGCAGGCTGAACATGAGTCAGCAGTGTGACTTGATGGCCGAGGGCGAACGCCACCTATGGTTGCATAGCCAGAAGCGTGGATTCTAGATCGAGAGAGGTATGACTGCCACTCTATACAACTCTGGTGCGCCTGCAGCTGGAGTATTGTGTTCAATTCTGGGCCCCTCATTACAAGAGGGATACAGCAAGGTTGGAATCAGTGCAGCAAAGGGCCACTAGGATAGTGGCTGGTTTCCAGAGTAAGCCATATGAAGAGAGACTGAGGGAGCTGGGTCTTTTCAGCCTTGAGAGGATGAGACTCAGAAGGGACCTGTTAGCAACATACAGGTATGTGAGGGGGTGCCACATAGATGTGGGACATGAACTTTTTTTCTCTGTAGTGGAGGGCAGGATGCGTTCCAATGGAGCAAAGCTCAGGGAATCAAGATTTAGAGTGGATGCCAGGAAGTACTTCCTGATGGTTAGGACCCCTAGGGTGTGGAATGGGCTTCCATGGGAGTTGGTTGAAGCCCCGTTGTTGAAGGTGCTCAGGGACAGGCTAGACATGCACATGGTAGGCATGTCATGAGTGGAGCTGGCTGGAGATGGGGGTCAGACTAGATGGTCCAGGAGACCCCTTCTGTCTCTCTCTGTTTCTATCCAGGTAAGGGAGTATCTGGATGCCCTGGAACCTGACATGGGTGCAGAGCACCTCCATGCACTTGGTGAATGCATGGGTGGCAGTGGCCAGGTCGAGATGATCTGTTTCCTCAAAGAGTGCCTGGTGTTGTCCAGCTACCACCCACTTGTGCAC